GATACTGCGTGCGAGTTTGGGCATGCGAAGGGCATGCTGTGCACCTGTGGTGCCACGCTTTTCTCTGGTTTGTGCTGCGTGGGTATTCCGCAGCTGCAGGAGCCGCTCAGTGGAGCAGAGTTTGATTCTTGCAGGGGTCGAAGTTCGTCCAGCATTTCTCCGCCGTTGTCGAGGGCACAGGATACGATGGTGGTTGAGGACCAGGTCGACGAGGCTAGCTTCACAGGTGGTGAGCAGTGTTTCTCAGGCCTGTGTGCTCGTGCTCCTGTCGTTCCTGCTGCAGGGCCTCCTGAGCGGGCGGTGCAACCACGGCCTTCATCTTCTGCTTGGTGGAGGGCTCGTGCTTCTGTGGCCAAGGCTTGGCTGGAGCTATCCCCCAGTACCACCGAGGAGGTAGTGAAGGAGACCAGCGAGTACGCCTCCGCTTCCGCAGCTCGAGGAGCGTGGCGGGGCCGAGTCCCGAGCCGCCCTCGGAGGGCAGGAATCGCGAGAGGAGAGTGAGTGAGTGAGTTGGCGTGCAGTTGCATTCGGTTGTATCCGTGTGTAGAGCTGTTTTGCCTGTGTGTGAAGACTCCTGTGTTCAGTCGCAGTCGAGTTCACGGTGGGCGGTGGCCCAAGGCGGCCCCGCTGGAAGGCGAGAGGCGGCCCAAGGTGGCCCCTCTCGGGTGGGTGGCCCTGCGGAGCCCCCGCGAGAGGCGGCCCTAGGCGGCCCCTCTCGGGTGAGCGTGTCTTTTGGCCGTTTGGCCCCACCACTCCGCCTTGAAGGCCCCTTCTTTAACTTTAACTTTAACCCGAATAACATTCGGGAGCACGGCATAAAAAAAAACAGGAGCGCGGCAAAGCCCACTGGAGCACGGCAGAGCACAGAAGAGCATGAGGAGCACGGCAGTTCACGCAGTAGCACGGCAGGACCCAAAGAACATTCGCGAGCCCGGCAGAACACACAAGAGCACGGCAGAACACGCACGAACACGGAAGAGCACAGAAGAGCATGATGAGCACGGCAGAAAACACACAATACGCAGGAGCACGGCAGAACATGCAGGAGCACGGCAGAACACGCAGGAGCACGGCAGAACCCAAAGAACATTCGGGAGCACGGCAGAACACACAGGAGCAAGGCAAAACACGCAAGAGCACGGCAGAACACACGGAACACACGGGAGCACGGCAGAACACGCAGGAGCACGGCAGAACACGCAGGAGCACGGCAGAACACGCAGGAGCACGGCAGAACACACAGGAGTACGGCAGAGCACAGAAGAGCATGATGAGCACGGCAGAAAACACAAATACACAGGAGCACGGCAGAACATGCAGAAGCACGGGAGCACGGCATACCACGCTGGAGCATAGCAGAACCCCGCAGGTCATGCAGAATACATGTGAGAACGGCGGGACACATAGGAATACGGCAGAACACTCAGGAGCACGGCAGAACACGCAAAATCCACAGGAGCGCGGCAGAACGCGCAGGAGCAAGGCAAAACACACAGGAGCACGGCAGAACACGCAGGCGCATGGCAGACCATGTGGAAGAACACGCAGGAGCACGGCAGAACACACAGGAACATTGTAAAACACGCAGGAGCACGAGGAGCACGGCAGAACACGCAGAACACACAGGAGCACCTCAGAACACACAGGAACACGGCAGAACCCCGCAGGTGCACAGGAGCACGGCAGAACACACAGGAGCACGAGGAGCACGGCAGAATGCACTGAATAACAGGAGCACGGCAGAACACGCAGTAGCACCGCAGAACACACAGGAGCACGGCAGAACACACAGGAACACGGCAGAACACGCAGGAACTCGGCAGAACACACAGAATACACAGGAATTCAGCAGAACAATCAGGAACACGGCAGAACACGCATTAGCACGGCAGGACATCCAGGAGCATGGCAGATATCGCATAAGCCCAACACACAAAAAGACGCTTCCCGTTCTTGTCCGATCAGGCTCCGGAAAAATGGCCGTGTCGCTCGAGACATCCTCAAAAAATCGGCCCCGGAGGGGGCTCCGAAACCACATCATCTGGGAATCGCTCCTGGAGGGCTCCAAAACGGCCCAAGAGAGCTCCCGAAGGCTACCCAAAGGACACCCACAGCACCCCAAGAGACCCACAAGAGGCCCACAAGAGGCCCCCAAAAGGCGCCCAGAGGCCCCAAGAGACCCCCAAGGAGCGCCCAAAGGCTTCCAAGAGCGCCCGAAGAGGCCCCGGGACTGCTACAGAGAGCCCCAAGACAGTCCAAGAGGGTCACAGAAGCCCCCAAGAGGCTTCCGAAAGGTTCCCAACGGGCTCCCAACAGGCCTTCAACAGGCTCCTCAGAGGGCACCAGAGACCCCAAAAGAGCCCCAAGAGCCCTAGACGGCACGCGAAGTCCATCATGTGCCCAGGGCAGCAGATGACGGGAAGCGCCTCTGGCGTGCACCGTTCTTCTGAATCCACTTTTTTCTGCTGATGGGGTCCGAGCTGCACCCCGCCCCGAGAGAGGCCCAAGCCGGCCCAAAAGAGCCCCAAGGGACGCCCAATTGATTCTCGCAAGGCTTTTTTGCTTGACTTCAGTATGTCCTACCAAAGTCTTCACACCAGCACGGCTCCAAAAGGATCACCACAAAGACACACGGCTTCACAGCACCTGTATGTTTCGTGGGTCGGCGGATGTTCTTCCAGGATCGGCGGATGCCTGCGGCCTCGCCCAGTGCTGTGGCAGGGGTCTTCCACCCCTTTCCCGTCGACGACGACGACGACGACGACGACGACGACGACGACGACGACGACGACGACGACGACGACGACGACGACGACGACGACGACGACGACGACGTCGCATGTCCCGTACGTCGTCCCTTTCCCCCCCTCGCAGACCAGCACGGCAGACCAGCGCGGCAGGCCATCGCAGTGAACCGGCAGCATGTGTCTTAATTTGTTGTGCTGCGTTTCTAGGCTTCGTTGACGTTCTACACCATACTTTCTCTGACACGCTTGGTGGACAAAAACGGCGCTTTCCGTTCTTGTCCTGTCAGGTTCGAAGCCTTCCTCGCGGGGCACCCTCCTCCTGCGACGGGGTCCCAGGTTGACCTCTGGCGGGACATCCATAGCGTGGTGCAGGCTAAGCCAGACCTCTTCCTGGTCGAAAAAGTCGAGAGCAACCTCGGCGACCAAGGGATCAACGACGGCCTCATCACGCCTATTGCCGAGGCGTGTAACCGACACGCCCACGAGCTGGCTTCAACGGGCGCACGCCTTCACCGGCTGCCGCAGGATGCTGCTGACGCGGCCCAGTGGCGCCACGAGCTCGTAGCCGTGCTGCGCAGCGTGGCGGTGGCCACCCACGATCGCCGACACCGCACCCTGCCCGGTCCCGACCGTCGGGATGGGTATACTAGGGGAAGAAAAAAATACATAAACATAAAAACTCTGAGGTTCGCGCGGATTTCTCGGATCGGCGCTGGACCCCCCTCCCTGGAGCGCGGAGCGCGCCAGGGGCGGCGCCGGAGGCGCCGCTGGGGGACCCCAGCGGCGATCCGAGAAATCCGCGCGGACCTTCGAATTTTTATGATGTTTATGCCACTTTTTGTTCCCCTACAATTATACGCAGGAGCGAACTTCACCGCGCGGGCCCACACCCGCTCCTCTCCAATGCAATGCGCCCCCCCCCCTGGCCCACCAGGCCAGCCGGGCCCGGTCCCCCGAGGCCCCCCCAGGGCCCACCCAGGCCTGACGCGCCGAGCGCCGAGCGCCCCCTTCTGCGGGAGCCCCCGCCGCCCAGCGCGCGCCCCTCCCCCCCAGGAGACTGGCGGCGCGCGCAAGAGGATACGGGCAGGGGGGAGGGCGTCTTGGAAGGAAACTGCTTCTGAAAAGGCGCCGGCCCGACATCTACAGGCAAGGCCAGGGCGGTTTCTGGGAAAGGGCGCTTCTAAGAAGCCTTCCCCCCGCCCCCCTACCTCCGTAGGCGCGTGGCCGAAGTGTGGACGTCGCGTCAGGGCAGCGGGGACCCCGACAGGGACGGCCGGTCGCCCCCCGACGGGCGCCGTGCCCTCGCCCGCTGCCTCGCGGCGGGCCGTGGCCAGACCGCCCGCGGATCGGATCTCCGTGCCAGCATCGCCGCGCTCCAAGAGCGCGCCACGCGCCTCGCACACACGCTGCGTCGCGCGCTCATGAGCAGTCCGGGCCTCTCCTCGCAAGACTCCAGCGAGCTCACTCCGCCGGGGACGCCGTCCACCTGGTGTCTCCACCGCCTCGTCCCCCTGGAGCCCCCGTCCCCGAGGCCATCCGGGCGAGGCCCGACGCCCACCGCCCGCGCAACAACCGCTGACTTCCTCTTGCTGCGTCCCCCGAGAACGCCCAGCAACACGTTCCACGGATCGCGCCGCAGGTTGCTGCGGGGAGTGCCCCTCCGCGACGCCTCGTTGTAGGGTCCCCGAGGCGCGCACGCCAGAGCGCGCTGTTCCCGGGGCCTCTTTCAACGGTGGGCGTGCAGATGTGGAAGGCCACGCCGGCATCGCCATGCCCTACTTGGATTTCCAGTCGGTCGCAGTCCCCAATAGACCGCGCCAGGGGGAAGGTTTTCTGGCCACCCTCGTCTTCGAACATGCGGCCCCTCCCGCCGCAAGAGGCGGGCGCCAGGTGGCGCTTGTAGCCCCGCGCCCGGGTACCCGCTGTCCGAACTGCCTCTCGCTCGTTTTCTCACACGCTCTCTCGTGCCCCCACCCTCTTCTCCAAGTCCCCCCGCCTCGTCCACCGAGCCCTTTCCCTCTTCGCCGTCGCTGTCGTCCTCTTTCAACTGCTCCGCATCCCCCCTCCATCCTCTCTCTCTTTCTCCCTCCCTCCATCCCTCACTCCCCCCTGCTCCCCCCCATCCTCCTCCTCCTCCTCCTCCTCCTCCTCCTCTTCCTCCTCCGCCTCCTCCTCCTCCTTCTCATCATCCCCCTCCCCCGCCTTCCCTCAGCTCATGGAAGACGCGGGGAGGCCGAAGATGCAAACAAAGGCGGGAGGATCCTCGAACCACCTCTTGGTCAAGCTGCGCTCCCCTCGGGGGAGCTCTTCGATGAGCTTCTCCCTGACGAGCTGCGCGTGGCATGCGCCGGACATTGTGCTAAGCGGCACCCACGCCTGCGGATGAAAGCGGAGGGGCAGAAGCGAGGTGGTAGGAAGAGGACGAGAAAGAGAGCGAGGGTGTGGAGGAGGAGGGGGAGGAGGAGAAGGAGGAGAAGGAGGAGGAGGAGTAGGAGGAGGAGGAATATAATTCAGCGGAGGAAGAAGAGGAGGAGGAGGAGGAGGAGCAGCAGGAGAAGGACGAGGAGGAGGAGGAGGAGAAAGGGATGAGGTTGATGAGGGGGATGGGAGCACTCGAAGGAGGTGGCGAGGGCAAGAAAGAGAAGGATGTGGAGGAGGGAGAGGAGGGAGGGAGGGAGAAGGGAGGGAGAAGGGAGGGAGGAAGGAGGATGCCAGGGCAGAGGAGCGGGAGGAGCAGGAGGGGGACCGCTCGCCGCGGCGCGGCGGCATCCTGCACGGCAGCACCCCCCCGCCCCACCGACTCCGCGCGCCCCCGCTTGCCCGACCCCCCCCCGCTGCAGGCCCCCCACCCCCCAGGCCGTTGCCCGCCCGTGCCTCCCGTCCACTCCCTCCGAACGCCCCTCCCCTCTCCAACCCCTGCACCCCCCCCCCGCCTCTCTCCCGCCCTCGTTGTCCTCCTCCTCCTCCTCCTCCTCCTCCTCCTCCTCCTCCTCCTCCACCTCCACCTTCTCCTCCTCCACCGCCTTCCTCCTCCGCCTTCCTCGTGCTCCACCGCCTTCCTCCACTTTCCTCCGCGGTCTTCGTCCTCTACCACCCTCCTCCACTGCCTCCCTCACCTTTCTCCTCCACCGCCTTCCTCATCCTCCTCCTCCGTCTCAAAATCCGCATCCGCCTTCCTCCGCCGCCCTCCTTCGCCGCGCCTTCCTGTTTTACCGCCGTCCTTCCCTGCCTGCCTCCACCGCCGTACCCCCCCCCTTCTCCTCCGCCTTCCTGCTTTTCCTACTCCATCGCCTTTCCTTGCTCCGCTGCCTCTCTCCTCCTCGTCCTGCCTCCTTATCCTCTTTCCTCCTACTGCTCCTCCTGTCCTCCTCCTGCTGCTCCTGCTCCTGCTCCTCCTCCTGCTGCTCCTCCTGCTCCTCCTCCTCCTCCTCCTCCTCCTCCTCCTCCTCCTCCTCCTCCACCTCCTGCTCCTCCTGCTCCTCCTGCTCCTCCTCTCCTGCTCCTGCTCTGCTCCTCCTCCTCCTCCTCATCCTCATCCTCCTCCTCCTCCTCCTCCTCATCATCATCATCATCATCAGCAGCAGCATCATCATTATCATCATCAGCATCATCATCAGCATCATCATCAGCATCATCATCATCAACATCATCATCATCAGCATCATCATCAGCAGCAGCATCAGCATCAGCATCATCATCATCATCATCATCATCAGCATCATCATCAGCAACAGCATCATCATCGTCATCATCATCATCATCAGCATCCTCCTCCTCCTCCTCCTGCTCCTCCTGCTCCCTCTCCTCCTCCTCCTCCTCCTCCTCCTCCTCCTCCTCCTCCTCCTCCTAATCCTTCCCCTGAACTCATATTTATGTATGGCCGCGTCGAATGTGGAACCTTGCCAGCTTGCGGCTGTCCCGCATCCGTGTTGGCGGGCATGTTTGTGACATGGTGCGTGACCCCTCTCGGGAGTCCTCTGGGGGAGCTCTCGGGACCCCAACGGGGCCATTGTGACCCCGTGCCCCGCGGCCCCAAGGGGGCTGTGTCACCCCGCGTGGGCCATGACCGCCGCTCCAATACACATCCCTTGCGTCGCGAACGAAAGTGCGCGGCGACATACTTGTCCAACCCAAGGTTGGGACATGCATGACGGACCAATCGCAACCCACTGACCCCAACCCAAACCGAATGGAGCACATCGCAACCGGCCGAAAAGCCGACTAGTCCGAATTGCACCTCGCCGTCTTAAGCATCACACCAGGGGTCGGATGGTGAAACGACTGATCGCGATCCCACAGCCTGACGAAACCCTTGTATGTAAACGTGTTCGAGAAACAGCATACATGCCAGAGTGGAAGTGGTACCACGTTATGTAGTTCCATTCAAGCGTTGTGCTACTCTGCTGTTGGGAACTAGCGTCTTCGCACACCAGAATTGTATGGATATCGCATGATCTAGGTAAAGTTGCCACACTTGATCTGCAAATACTTCGTATCCGCGTGTGGTAGCTGCCGCATGGGCATTATAAAGTAATCGATGGGGAGCTGTACACCCTTGATTTGAGACCTGACTAATCCCACTACGGCAGCCCATCGTTTTCATCTTGGACTTTGTGTAAGCATCATGCGAGAGCTGGGTAGGTGCCATTGCAGAGCTGTGCAGCATTCATATGGAAAAGTGTGCACCTTCATCGGTTCATGGTATACTTCCGCATGTGATATGTAATCCTCAGGTGGAAGGGTGTATATTACGCTTGAAAAAATCTGGAGACGCCTGTTGCATAGCTTCAACAAGAGGCTTACTTGTATTCCCATTCAAAGCTGTAAGGAATTCGCGGTGTGGCATCATAACTGTAAGCATTGCGGCGACAGGCTCAAGCAAACTCATATGTGAACTGTATGGCTTCCAATTGGAAATTGCCATTTTGCCATGTCAGAACCGTCTCGGCTTGTTGCTACCATATGAAAACTGTAGTTGCCGGTCGCGAGTAGTTGGGTGTCTCGCGGTAGATGCAACCAATGTACATGAAAGTGGAACGAACACATCATTACAATGTGGGAATATGAAGTGAGAGCTGCGTTGGTTTAGTGTGAGATCCGTGTAATTTCTGTTGGAGATGTACAATTCCGTTTGTGTGTGTAGCATGGCGGTCGCCTGACATCAGCACAGCGCTCCCATAAAGTATATACGAGCGTCATACAATAGATGTATAAGTTTCCCTTCTCATCTGGATAAGTTGTCATAGGGAGCTGGGCAATTTTCAATTGATAATTCTGCATCATTCAGATGGAAACGCACAACTGCCAGATGGAAATGGCCGATTCATCCCATGAAAAACCGTGTTGATGTCATCTTGACTTTGCAAGCGAGCGGTTTTAGAAAAGTTTGAAAACAATGTTGTGACCTCAACAAACATGCGATCGTTTCATTCGACATGCATCCACGCATCATACATACGTTTCACCAGCTTAACATCAGAATCGGATCGGCGTCGGTATCCTCAAAGATCTCGAGTGGTCTGGGGAATGATCTCTCCGATATCCTGGAAGACGTCAGATCTCCGCGAAGGATCCCTGTAAGGATCCTTCAGACATCCTCGAAGCCTGGAGAGATCCTACAGGGATCTCAGGATCTCTCCAAGGATCTCGAAGGATCTCTCTAAGGATCCTTCAGGGATCCTCTCATAATCTCAAAGGAGGTCTCTGAAGATCTCCAGGGATCTCTCTGAGGATCTCGACAGATCTAAGGATCCCGGGGGATCTTCCAGAGAATATCCAGGGATCTCTCGAAGGATCCTTCAGAGATCGTGCCAGGATCCTTTGGAGATCCGATGAAGATTATGTAAAGTCCTGAAAGGATCAGCAAGAGATCATGTGAGGAGCCTCTAGAGATCATCTGAGGATCCTGCATAGATCCTCTAAGGATCTCTCTCAGCGGCGCGCCTGGTGGGGAAGTGACAGGACGCAGGCCTTCACAAAGGCGCCTGGGCGTTCCAGAAGCCCTCCGGCCTTTTGAAAAGTCGTTTCAGTGTCTTCGGAGAGGGCACGGATCTTTCTTTAGAAGGCCCGAGACCTTCCGAGCCGTATGAGGAGGCCCGCCCCCTCTGACTTCCCCCTGGTCTCGCCGCCGACTCCTAGCGATGCGTCAAGGGTCCTTAAGAGATCCTCGAAGGGTCCCTCTGAGATCCTCTAAGGATCCTTCACAGATCCTGTGAGGACCTCGTAAATATAGATCCTCCAATGATCGATCCTCGGAGGATCCTTTAGAGACCCTTTCAGGGTCGCTCTAGGGATCGTTCAGAGACCTCTCAGAACGGCTGGGATTGGTATGTACATGTTTGGGATTTTACCAGTTGCTTGGTGTTTTGCTTCGTTTGCGGAAAGAGCTCCCCCCACAACCCGACCCCAGGCCGGACCCTCCGGATCCGTGGCCACAGGGATCTACTGGACGCCATTACAGAAAGGGTCCCCCAGGACTTCTGGGCATCCTGGACGTCCTTGCCGGGCCCAGCCAGCGGGCCCAAAGTGGTCAGGAGGGTGGCCAAGCGGCCGCGCAAGGGCCCCAGACGGCCTCAGACACCCACCAGACGTCCGAAGACGGCCCAAACACACACACACACACACAAATAGGCCCTCCAAATTCAAAAACGATTGTCTTCTGTGGGTGTACGACTTTGGAATTCTCGGCTCTTCTGTCGCGCGCGCATCCACGACCACCCAAGACGACCCCGAAAATCGTCCCAAAACGACCCGGAAGGGCATGCTGACAATCCAAGATAGCCCCGAGACGGCCACACAAAGCCCCGACATGGCCCGAAGCGCTTCGGATCGTGACCCGGTCATTGAGGGAGATCGTGGTTCGCAGCAAGGTGGCCCGACTAAGACCGCGAAGCCCGCCAAAGCCTCAAGACTCAAAGTTCTATCAGGGTGGCCCGCGAGGGGCAGGACTCTGTGTAAAACTGTGTGAAACCCTCGGAGGTCGAAGTGCGCCTTCGCCGCCCAGCAGGCAAATTCAGGGGTCAAGCTTGGCCAGGTCTCCTCATTGCCGGCTAGAGATTGCCAGAGCCCGCCGAAAAAACGCCCAGGAGAACTCAAAGACCGCAGGAAGCCCCGAATCGGTGTCGTGAGGCCCACAGGAGGCCTTAAAGGATGGCCCTCTGCAGACAAATATCGGATGTCGGGGAAGGGTTAAGCAGGGTAACGAGAGCGAGGAGAAATGGGAGGGAAGGGGAAGGAGGTGCATAGTACGACGACGACGAAGAAAACAGCAGCAACGAGTTATCGCTGTTTATACTGATCCACCTCTCTCTCATTCCGAGCGCAGGCCGGCATTGAGGGACCAAGTTGCATCGCGTGAAGCTCCAATGCCGTCTTAC